TATATATATACACACACACACACACACACACATGTATTTTAAATATGATGATTTCATGTATTTCATATAAGATGCCAATATACTGCACACTCCTTTAAAAGACTACTTTATAGTTTTACTTAAAAAATTTTACCTATAGCAAGACGTTCCAATCTCTTCCCATGCTCTGGAGGGATAGCATACCTGTGAAATTGGTATTTATTTATTTATTTTATTTTGAAAAAATGGCAGAATTTCAGGTCCTCTGAAGTAGATGAAGAAAGAAGTTCAAATAGATCTATGCATACACAAGAAACACAGAAAACCACAGTGAATCCTACCAGGATTTGGGCTCCCCAAAGTGCAGGTAGTTGATGCTGTACAGGTCCATGTCCTCCGTGTGCCAGGAGAAGCTGGTTTTCCACATTCCAAAGTACAGATAGGGTGTGTTTACACCCTGAATGGACACTCCACAATCCTCCTCAATCACATCCAAGATTGAGTTCAGGTGCCCGATGTTCCACTCTTCAATGTCCTGAGATAAGAGCGGCAAACATTATCTCAACTATCACCTGCTTACCAGCTCACAGCACAATAAAGAAAGTACCATGGCACTACCAAAACGTTTTTTTAATTCTTATATATTTCCCCTCATTATTTCACAAATGATTAATGAATATTTTTTTTTTTTTTTTTCATAATTATCTTAAAATACCATGAATATTCATAATAAATAATAACTAATTAAATTAAAACAATAGCATGAGGTTTTCAAATATTTCTTGATTAAATAAACATTACTTAAAGTTGTTTAACCGTGTAAACAGTCAACTGCAGCCAGCCACCACCAAGAAAACTGTGTTATCCTTTGTTATAACATGCATGGCATTCACATTCCATTTGAGGTACGTTACGCTGAACATTCAGAGCACAAGAGCTGTGCTCCACCTGCATCCTCACCTCATCATAGAGTGTGCCGCTCACATCAGCACCATAGATGGGCGAGACGAATGTCAGATTCTTCCAGTACTTCCTCTCCAGGTCTTCATAGTTCAAGTAGCGAGGTGTGCAGTACCTGAGTAGGTAAATCACACATCTCCAGATGGCCTTAACGAATATAGGTCAATCCATCATTTAAAGGAATCTTATTACAGAGTGCAATAGAAGTCCAGCATATAACAATGCACAAAAGAACTATGTAAAGGACCCAAACCAGAGGTGTTTGTAAACTGCATGGCATTGTATGAAATTGTATTTTAAACAAAAATATTCCAATAATACTTTCCAAAATTATTTTTGTTTAGATATTGTTTAATATATGGAGTATTTATTTGATTTGATTTAGTAAACACATCTGCTATCGTTTATGCACTGCTTTGCTTTTTTGGAAATATGAAATAATAACCTAGAGTGTAGGTTATGGCTGAATACTGTATAAAGAAATAGAAAGAATGTGAATGCAATCCACAGAATATCACTGCATGCACATACTTTGTTTAAATGTAGTTAGAGTAGAATAACAGTTGTCACTTACATGTCACTGTTGGCCAGTCTGCGGAATTCTTGCACAGTGAGTGGTTTCTTCTGGATGTTGTACTGAGTGAAGAGTCCTGATTGGCCAGCCACCATCTGCTGAATAGGTGCTTGAATGACGAAATCATCAATATCACCATAATTGCGACGTGGCTTCCAGTCCTTGGGTGGAATAACCTGTGGAAATAATTAAGATCTGCTTTAAGAAATATGAAGCCACTATTTTTGGTCCAAGAGAATGTGTGTGTACACATATACATATATATATATATATGAGAAATACAAAATAAAATAAAAAATATCATAGTATATTATATTTGTATATAGTACCTTATATAACTTTATTTATATATTATTCTATTACTATCTACTATTATTACAAATTATTATTATATTTTATATATTAGAGTTGTGATCTTGTGAATATAAATAAATAATAATAATTAAAAATAAAAAGCCCATCACTCTTTTGTACTGTCCTCACTGATTGAATGTAAAACAAACATACAATGGACCTATATTGTGCATTAAGATTTTATATTTTGGACTGTTGTTATTATATGTAATATACACATTTTACTATCAATCACATGCATAAACATACCAACCTTGGCCAGTCCAGCACGATGAGCTCCCTGAGACTCCATATAAACCAGGTACTGGTTGAAGTCCTTAAACTCCTCCATTGTAGGTCTGAAGGTCATGATCTTACAGGCAGGGTTAGCCGGGGCACATGCCCCAACACCTGCCATCCTGACCTCTCCCTGCTGCCTCCCGGAGGCTCTACCTGCAGAGCGCACACAGTGTGCAATTATACTTCCCCTTCACAATCATGATTACACAACAAAACATGATGTGATTAACACAGTTAGAGTTACAAAAGTCCAACAGCTTCTTCTTGCATGCATATGACTGACCGTCTAGCCATTGTAATTTAACATAATGATTTGGGTCCTGTACAGACAAATCACCGACTAGGATTTCATCACTGCGATCACGGACAATCAAACCTAAAGATATAATCAAACAGTCTGTTTACTTACATCATTGTCAATTCTACAGAAATTTGCCATAAATCCATATTTATAAATGAAGTCAGCCCTATGTATCGTAATTCATTATTAAAGCACAATGCAGCAAGCCTAAAAGTGTAATTTTCAAGCGTCTAGTTGCATGAGTTTTTAATGCAGGCCCACTCCTATAATCTGCTGATAAAACAATGATACAAAAGCCAGGCTAGATATAGGCGAAATACCTATATAAAAACTTATCGCATGAGTGTAAACAGCCTGCGGTATGATTTTTTATCGTTTAAACTATACTGTTTACTGTACTCAGCTAGGTTTATTTACAGTTAGCTCTTTAGCTGCTAGAGTGAGCATATTAAATGTCCACTTCTTCTAGTCTCGTTGTCAAAGTTCTTCTCTGAGCCCATAATAGCAAGATGAAGCTGTTCCTGTGCGCATAACACATCCGTTCTCTGCCATGTGTATTGATTAGAAATACCTCAGTGTCGTGTGTTCGTGGGCACGCAGTCCAGTCCCTTTAAACACCCCAGCTGTTCTTCATGACAGCTCTCTGCTCTCACACGATTTCATTTCTGCTTCCCTTCTTCTCGCTCTGGGCTTAAGAGAGCGCAGCGCCATCTGGTGGACTGTATGTTATACAAATGCATTACAAAACAATGCAATTCAATACAACTGTATTAAAGGGGGTCATATGATGCGATTTCAAGTTTTCCTTTCTCTTTGGAGTGTTACAAGCTGATTGTGCATAGATAAGATCCCTGAAGTTGCAAAGACTAAAGTCTCAAAACACTCTGTCATTAAATTTATTTTGAAAGATGAAGCTCGCGATTATGGTAAGGGGCGTTACATTTCCGACGAGTGCTTGCGGTGTTCTGCCAATCACAATGCACTGGGTCAGCTGGCCAATCAGAGCAGACTGCGCTTGTCGGAAGGAGGGACTTTGTAGAAAACGAAGCGTTTGAGAGAGGCGGGGCATAGAGGACCTACAATAATGTACAGTATTTGAAAAATAATGTGTTTTTTGAACATTAAAGCATGTCAACATATTCTGTTACACCAAATAATTATCTTTAAAAAAGCATCATATGACCCCTTTAATCTCAGAGGGGGAGTTTAGTTTTTTCATTTTGGCGTTGTCTTAAAGGCACAATATGTAAGATTTGTTGATTAAAATATCCAAAAACCACTAGAACAGTGTTATATGTTTTGCTGACTTGTGTACTTACATCCCAAATGTTTTGAACAATGTTTAAATCCAGAGAAAAAAGCTATTTTAACTACTGACACGAACCGGAAGCGGTCGACTGTGGCATAATAAAAGCTCCGCTGCTTTCGAGCCGTGTGTCACGCTTGTTCAGCGGCCTCGTTTTGCTTCGACGGCTTTCAGCCTCACCCTGCTTCATTCTACTACAATAACAAATCATTAGCTCATCCATGAACATGATTTCTGCCCGAGTCCCGTCGGATTGCATCGGCTGTGGGGATGAAGACCACAACTCCCATAATTCCACACTAAGTCAACTAGGCCTTTGCCTCTTTGTTTATTTTGAATACAGTCCTCTGGCGGCGAAAATTACATATTGTGCCTTTCAAAAAAATAGTTAAGAATAATGAATGTCTTTTTTAAATAATGTTTTTTTTTTACATTGAATAAATGAAAAATGAACGTTTTAAGGGTATGAACTGGCTAAATAACATTTTTGTTTATTTAATAAATTCTTCATAGATTAAATAGGTAAATATTTTTCCAATATAGACTTTCCATTAGGCCTATAGACATTATTTCTCATTGTATATTTCTCTTCAGAAGTATAAATACTGGCAAGTGAAAACACTTCTGCAAGCTTTGGTTTTGCGATTATTATTCAATGTATGCAAACATACCAAAAAGAAGTTGGTTACTCAAGGAGTGAAATCATCACCATGTATCATATTAATAGGCAAATATGCGAGATTTGCTTGTGTATGTCAGCAACATCATTCCAAATGTTGTGTATGTCTCTTTAATGTCTCATAATAATAATATTATTAATAATAATAAAAATACTGTATTATTTAAAACAATTAAATATATTTAATTGTAGCCTATACAATTATTATAAACTTGTTGTATTATGTGCATTGGTATTTTGACGTAAAACGCCAGTAAGTAGGCAGTTTACTTTGAAATTTGAGAGATCGAGACCGCGCACCCTTTGCACTAACATAACGCCCATAAACCTCCATAAGGTGGATATATGCGTGCATCTGGTGTATATTGACGCTTTGGCAATGTAAAGGTTTTAACAGGGCAATAAAGCTCCAGGAATCTCAACCTTAAAGGGGTCATATGATGTAATTTCATTTTTTCCTTTCTCTAAAAAACATAGTAAAATAGCATTACTATTTGTCTTTGCTAGTTGTCTGATACAGAGACTCTGCCCTACAGGCAATATTATTATATTATCTTCTTACATCATTTCAGGGAATGCCAGATAACCTTGTTTATTTGAGTGAGAGATTAATTCAGTGCTTCCTTTAAGAGATGGAACTTGCACAAAAAAATGCATATTAATACATAGCCTATATATATATATTTAGATTTCATGTCATTAGTTACAACAAGCCCAAAAGGTTCACATGTTTCATTTAGTGTAGCCTGGATGATTCATAAGGGAAGATGGGACAGGCATTCATTACAATATCTCTATTGTGCAAATTATTTCGCAGCACATTTTCCCAAACTTCATTCATTTGATTGATGTAGGCTATTCTTGATTTATTTTTACCATTTAGGTGCAAACATTACAAAACATGGCTGTAATAATAATAATTAGTATATGTAGTAAAAACTGAGGGGATCAGGCAGGAGATCCGGCAGGCTTCAGAAAGGGCCATAATTCATTTATGCTGTTATTTTTAGGAGCAGCTGAATACTGTGAATTCTTGATGCCTTGTAATCGTAAACTTACCAAACCAGACGGTGCTTAGATGTCTGCCGCATGTTTAAAACCTGATAATCCAGTGATGATATGCTCAGTAACACTAAATAATAGGCATAACATAAGCACATAAACTAATGCTTAAAACATCTGATGTGACTGTGATCTTACATGCCCTGCTACACGACAGCACAGACTTTTATCATAGCACATCTATCTTTCAGGCATGGAGCAGCATTGTACAAGCTGCTAACAGCTGAAATTGGGCCATTTGTGCCAATATTCATTTAAGTGGCTTTTGGAGAGGGAGCTCTCCAACAGGAAAATTCAGCACACACATTTGTACATGAAAAGAAATGTATGCATCTATCCAAAGAGTAATATCTCCTGAAATAATTGTGAAGAGGTAGAGACTTAGTATTCATTGTATCAATACTGATTTCATCCGAATATACTCTTGCAATCACTAGAATAGGGAAGATGTATGCACAAATAGGCCTATGCATGGAACAAAACAACCAACAATAAAGTTAAGAAGCTAAAGTTCAGCTAAAGCTTTCATTCTCCCAACCCATATTGAAAATAATTTAGCCAAACTAAAATGTCAGATCATCAAGGAATCCTGAAAATAATCATGGTTTCCACTTAGATATTAAGCAGTGCAACCTTTTTTATAACATTAATAATATAAAATGTTTCTTTAGCATCAAATCAGCATACAATAATTTCTGAAGCATCATGTGAAACTGAAGATGGAAAATCATCAAAACATTCAGTGACCTCTCGTGACCTTTGGATGAGGGCAATGTCATTCTGGAAGTGACCACTTGCATCAGGATAGTAAAGTTTCCTGATAGGATAAAATGATCACTCTGAACAACAGAGCCAGTAGTTCCTGTGAATTTTTTTCTAATTTGTCACCTCTCTGTGTGTGTTTATACTGTATATACTTTTATATGACTCTAATGGACTTGCTATCAAAGTATGTAAATACATTAGTGTGATACTATACACATTTCATTATAGGCCAGGCTTAAAAGGCAACACTTTACTGTAGCATTTTATACATTATGTATGCTCTGTCTTTCCATCCACCAAGGGGTCCTTGACCTGCAAAAAGCTTGTAGACCCTTGACAGAGGGTTTAGTTAGCCCTTTATGCTGATGTCAAAATAGTGATTTGACTATTTGTCAAAGTCGATAAGTCTAGATAGACAAGGCAATATTAGTTCAGGTTGTAAAATGTGTTGTGAGACTACTGAAAACGTAATGATATTTATGAATTAATAATTCATATTTTAATATGATATATAATAATATAATTCATGGTATTTTAACAAATTAGTTTTACCTTGAAAAATATATTTTTAAAAATTTCTGAAAATAATTATTAAGGTTTGTAAAATATGTTATTCATTTTTGTTTGATAGTTTGACCACATGCCATTTTTGTCATTATACTGAAACTTTTATCGAAAATGGTATAAAAGTTTTTAAAAACCATATGGAACCAGCATGAATACAAAGAAGGTACATTTGTTAAACTGGATTTATTGTTAGCACTCTTAACCATAAAATAATTGACTCTGAAATAATATGTGCATGTTAATAATTAAAATTGATCAGATTGTTATCAGTGCATATTATTTATTGGTCTAATCTCATTAACAAAATGTATGCCACTTTAATCACAGTAAATCTCTGCAAATGCCTGCATTTATTCGATTAAAATGCCGTAAAACAGTAATATTGTGAAATATTATTACAATTAAAAAAACATTTGCTATTGTAATATGTTTTAAAATGTATTTCTGTGATAGCAAAGCTGAATTTTCAGCAGCCATTACTCCAGTCTTTAG